AGGACAAGAAAAGTGCTGCTGTCGGGCTCTAGTTCACACGTGCACAGACACGTCTGTGACCAGGGGGTGGTTGCAGGCATGTTCTCTCACTAGTACAGTTATCATCCTCTCATCGAGGGGGCTTACTCCACCCCCCCAAAAAAAAGAATGCTAAAAACAATTGCTGGGCAAAGATCCCCGAGCCCAAAGGGGCTCATCTTTTCCATATGTCTTTTAGGGAAGACTGAGCCAATGAAGACATTTATGGAATAAGCCATATCTGGAAATGAGCCTATGCTTCACAAGTATGGTGCAGAGAGCCAGGTCTAATCAAGGTAGTGGCTTCCAGAGGGATCTGCTAGACCAGTTAAAGTCACAGCGAGAAGTCAGAGGCAGTTGTTTGAACAGAGCATGGTTTGAAATCAGGAAAGGCGTGAGTCAGGATTGTATCCTTTTGCCAGGCTTCCTCGATTTGTGAATCCCTGCGTGGCACTGGGAACATGTTGATCTACTAACCAGAAGGTTTGGGTTTCAAACCCACCAGCCGCCTTTCTACAGAAAGATGAGTCTGTCTGTACAGCCTCAGAAACCCCATGCCAGGTCACTAGGAGTCAGAATGGACCAGTGGCAGAGTGGGTGGTGTAGGGAGCTGGAATAAGAATGCGCTCAACATCAAGAATGGAGGGAGGCTCATGAATCAGTGGAAGTAGGCAGATGCCACAACCTTGCCTGCTGGGAGTGAAGAGAACGTGGGAGCGCTTACTGGTGAAATCCAAAGCCTTCGGGATGGATCGTACTGCAACCTAAAGGAAGCAACACTCCTCACGACTGGACAGATTAACAACACTGTGCTCGAGAAAAAATGAAGTTAGTCAAAGATTTCATCTTACCTTGATCCTCAGCCTTTGCCCACAAAAGCAGCCGTTGGGGAAATCAAACGGTGTGGGATGTGGGGAAGCTTGCCTCCGCAAAGACCTTTTTAATGTGTTGAGAGTCTGCTTTCACTGTGAGCATGAAGGGATCGTCCAGGAAGCTAGACGGGTGCACCTGACTCATGCCATGGTATTTTCAACTCACTCAGACTCCTGGGAAAGCTGGGAGACCAGAGAACAACCAATTACATTTCAATGACGTGGGGCCGGAAAATATTGCTTGTCTGGACAGCCAGAAGACTGAGCAAATCCGTATAGCAGGACGTGCAGCCAGCATGCTCCTCAGAAGCAAGCTCCTCATGGCAAGACTGTTTTCATGTGTGTTGGTAACATGAGAAGCCTGGGTTACGTTGGTAGGCGAATAACCACAAGGTCAGCAGTTTGAAACCACTAGCCACTCCGATGGAGAAAGACGAGGCTTTCTCCTCCCATCAAGAGTGACCGTCTCATGAACCCACAAGGGCAGTTCTACCCCGTCCTACAGGGTCGCGCTGAGTCAGCATTGACTCACTGGCAGTTGGGTTTGATTTTTATTTTTTTTGAGTTTTGGTAGAGGGGTGAAAAAGAGGGAAATGCCCCGTGAGACAGAACGGTGGCACGGAGTGCAGCAGTGAGTGCAGCGTCCTGGAGATGGTGCAGAGCCAGGCAAGGTTTCGTTTGGTTGCATGTGCATGCGTTCACCAGGAGGGGCCAGAACGCAACAGCAACAAAGGCCGCCAAGAAATGCATTCTTGTAATACAGTTAGCTGGGGGCTGCTTGGCCCCACTCTCCTGGCACCTGCAGACCCAGAGGAAGTGCGGTTGGAAAGCCAGCCTTCTTCTGCAGGCAAAGGGAGCCATGGTTGCTGGGGCTGTCATGGCGTGGGCACTCTTGCTTACAAACTGGGAGGCAAACACACACACACAAACAACCTTCGCTTCACACAGCACTGGGGAGGAGATAAAGTGGC